GACGACGCGCGGGCGGTCTGGGGTGTGGGTAGGTGGGGGTGGGGGTTGGTCGCAAGGGACTGGTCGGCCGTTGCGCTGCGGCAAACGGCGACGGTGGGGTCTGCTGTATGAAGGCGTTAGGCGGCTGGGGTGAGTGACGCGGGAGCGCAGGCGGCCCTCTTTGCTGCCGGGGGCTCTTTTGTCCGGCCTGCGCCGTCCTGCGAGAGGGGCACGCGCGGCTGGTACCTCATCGTTCTTGGAAGGCACCAGCCACGCACGGCCGCCCGCCCCTCGGACCCCACGCCTGCTTGTGCACACCCTGGCCCTAAATCCGCGCCCTCGCAGCGCCCACGCCACGCCGCGCCCTTGCGCCGACCCAACGCCCACCTCGCACGAAACATCGCACACGGGGCGCAGCCCCTCCGCGCCCTCCCCTCAAACAGCCCAACGACCCAGCTTTCTAGCTATCCAGGAATCCAGGGATACACCAACCCAACATCCTAACACTTCGACGCTCGGGCTATCCAGCAACCCAGCAATGAACTTAAATCACCCCGCCGGCCCGCCACACCCACCCACCCCGTCTGCCCAGGGCTGGGGCGCGACCACGGGCTACCAGGACCAGTGGACCTGGGACCAGGCGTCAGAGACGTACGCCCTCGACCCCGAGATGTCCGCCAAGCTGCGCGCCGCCAACCCCCAGGCCTACGCCAATGTTCTGCGTCGCTGCCTGGAGGCCGCGGGGCGCGGGATCTGGCGGCCGGACGAGAGCGTGGTGCAGCAGCTGAGGCAGCGGTTTGCGGAGATGGATGACGAGTTGGAGGGGGTGGCGGGGCCGAGGTAGAGGCCCGGGCGGTTGTGTGGAGATGTTATCATTCAAACGTCCACACCCCTCACAGGAGATGTTGCTTGTAGATGTGTGGGCGGCGTCTGGCATTGTGTGGATCCATAATAGCACTATCATGTCTTGTTCTTTGTGCCGGGCCACGTGGGGTGTGTGTGTGTGTGTGTGTGTTTGTCTGGGGACGGGGCCATGCAGCGTTGCGTGCTTTCCTGAGGTTGAGGTGTGTGCTGCTGCAGTGTGGTGCTGTCGCCCGTATTGTCCGTGCAGCCCGCGTTGGTTGCTTATTTGCGCCGACGATTTCTCTTGCGCTGTTTGAGTTGTCGCACGGTTGATAGAGTGGCCAGTTTTACCGTGGATGCGCCGAAAGCGCGCAGCCCTGGCCCAGCAGCAGTTGTGGGCATGTGCTGAGCACATGGCACGTACCGCGGCGGCTGGAGCCTGCCGCTGCTTGGTCGGCCGCCTTTGCCCTTAGAAACTCTGGAAGCTTCCATGTAACTTGTCAGACGGTGGCTAGGCGGCGCGAGCGTGGCCTACCCGCATGGCAGGAACTCACCGGGTGCCGTTGCTGTTGCCACATCAGCACGGCCGCCTCCATTATCACGGTTGGCTTATCCAGCTCAAAGGTGCCGCCCAGCCACTTCGGCGCGTCCTCTTTGTTTCACATATCGCTTGTTTGCTTACATACGAACCCCGCCAAGCCTGGACCGCCCCTTGGACCTTCTTTCGCCCGTGCCAGCAGCCAAGATGGACCACGCCCAGCAGCGCCTGTCCGTGCTGGCCAAGCAATTCGGCACGGTGAGTTGTGGCCGCGCGCAAAGGCCAGACTCAGCCTGCACTGCATGCCACTGAGCACCGCAGCTGATCTTCGGCTATGCCGCGCCCGCTTCGCCCCAATCCGCAGGCCCACGAGTCCATGGCCGGCCTTAGCCTACAGGTGGGATGTTCTCTTATTCTTTGGCTCAACATCCGCGCCCGCGGGCGCTCTCTTGCGGCGCTCATAAGGCTGACAATGCGCTGCTTCCGCCTTGCGCCGCCATGCCGCCCCCACAGAGCTGCTCCGCCGGCGACTCATCCGCCTACCAGCGCCAGGGCGCGGCCCTGGATGATGTGGTCATTGTGTCTGCGCTGCGCACGCCCCTCACCAAGGTGGGGCCCCGCATCTTGGGGGACCACGCCCCTTGGCAGCTGACCCCTCAGCGGCAGCCTTGCCCCCCCGCCGCCGCATGCGGGCCGCAGCCCGTGTTGCGATGCCATGCGACCGTCCCCTTCCGCATGCATGCGAGCACTGCTGTCGCCCCCATCCTTGCAGCTTTAGCCAGCCCCACCACCACGCCTGCATGTGTCGCCCCGACGCATGGCCCTCTCCACACTCGGCCCCCACCCCGCCCCAACCCCCACCCCCAACTCCCAACCGCGAACGCAGGCGCGCCGCGGCGGCCTGCGCGACACAGACGCCGTCGACCTGCTGGCCACCGTCTACCGCGCCACCCTCGACCGCACCCGCGTCGAGCCGGCCGCCCTAGGGGACGTCGTCGTCGGCTCTGTCCTCGGCCCCTCCAGCCAGCGCGCCAACGAGGCGCGCATCGCCATGTTCATCGCCGGCATCCCCGAGACCGTCCCCGTCCGCACCGTCAACCGCCAGTGCTCCAGCGGGCTGCAGGCCGTCGCGGACGTCGCGGCGGCCATCAAGGCGGGCTACTACTCTGTCGGCCTCGCGTGCGGCGTGGAGACGATGTCGGCGCACCCCATGAGCTGGGAGGGCGGCGTCAACCCCAGGATCGCCGACTTCCCCCAGGCCCAGGGCTGCCTGATGCCCATGGGCGTGACCAGCGAGAACGTGGCCGCGAAGTTTGGGGTGGACAGGCGCGCGCAGGACGCGTTTGCAGCGGCCAGCCACAGGAAGGCGGCGGCGGCGCAGGCGGGCGGCAAGTTCAAGGACGAGATCGTGCCCGTGTCCACCAAGGTGGGGCGCTGGGGGCGTTTGAATTACTTTTTTGTGAGCGGAGATTCACTTGCGTCGGAGGGCAGTTGTAAGTTTGTGCGTGTGCGTGTGCGTGTTTGTGTGTGTGTGTGTTTGGGTATGTGCGTGTGCGTGTGCTCGCGGGCATGGGCCTGTGAAAGGGAGAGTCGAGGGGGCTTCCGGCAGGCGCCGAACGTCCAGTCGGTGACTGCTGCCCTGCTGTGGTGCGCTGATGCCACATAGACCTGGCACTCAGCACGTGGTGCGGTGGCCGCGCTCACCAGTCCGCGTGCCCGGCGTGCAGCCCCCGCTCCTCAGCCCCGCGGTTCCAGCGCCCTCTTTAGAACCCCCCACACCCACCACCCAAAAACACCCTGTAAAATTCGCCCCATCCCAGGTCAAGGACCCCAAGACTGGCGCGGAGACCCCCGTGGTGGTGTCTGCCGACGACGGCATCCGCCCCGACGTGACCCCCGAGGCCCTGGGCGCCCTCAAGACGGTCTTCAAGCGCGACGGCACCACCACCGCCGGCAACAGCAGCCAGGTCACCGACGGCGCCGCCGCGGTGCTGCTCATGACGCGGCGCGAGGCGCTGGCGCGGCGCCTGCCCGTGCTGGGGGTGTTCAGGTCGTTCTCGGCGGTGGGGGTGGACCCGGCGATCATGGGCGTCGGGCCGGCGGTGGCGATCCCGGCCGCGGTGAAGGCGGCGGGGCTTACGCTGGACGACATTGACGTGTATGAGATCAACGA